TGTGATTTGTGCATAAACCACGCATGATAACCTTCTGGTCCTGCAAAAATTGATTCTTGCATCATTTCTCCTGAACTTACCCAAAGATTGGGGGACAATTTGAAAGTCTTGCAAGCCTTGTCCTTTAGTAAGTCGGTCCTCAGCCTTAAATAGGAAATTTTAAAAAGTCTGATTATCTCTTTCCAGATTTACTGTTTCTTCTGGGACTCACTTCCTCTGTGTGCATAGTGACTGAGATCATAAAGAAGTTTGAAAGAAGCAAGGAAAAGATTCAGAAACGTGGAAGTTCTTCTTCGTCAACTTCGTCTTTTCTTGATGTATGATGCATATTGCATTCTTTTGTTTGCAAACTTTAGGGATTGCTGTCTAAAGATGTAGGAGGAAGAAAAACAATATTTGGAGGATAAAGAAATCCTGAGGGCTTTTGACAAGTCCTTTGTTTCACTGGCTAAGGATGAACGTTCATGTTTCAAGACTGTTTAGAATTTAACTTCCAGCTGTGGGAGTAACAAATGAAATTATGCAACTTTGGTAACATTTTTCCTCAAACATAAATTTACTTTTGAGATTGAATAGGATTTTGTGGGAGGGGGTTTAATTTAAAGAAAGATCTAAGCCCAAGTCCCATTTTCTGCACTTAAAAGATATAACTGTGTAAAATCCTTCTCTTAGATATAAATATTTTAGTTTGTTTTTATTTAAAACATTGTACTATTTTATGGTGGTGGGACTTTGCTACTAATAAAAGGATAAAAAGATATTTCAGAGGCATTCCACTGGGTTTAGAGTCTGTCACAAGAGTGCCATATTCTAGCTACTGTATTTATTTACTTTCTCCTGCAATGTGTAAGCGGCTCAAGTACCTTGTGCTACAGTTTTTTTGTATCCCAAGTTTTTTTTTTGCACAGGATGTGACCGCTGTTGGATCACTGTTTTTCTTTTCTTTTTCTGTGATTGAAAAGCCTATACTGCAATTTGAAGTAAATGTTTGCTTTTCTTAAAAGTGTGGTGTCTCTTTGTTTTAAAAGAACCTGGCATTTACACCAGATCAGCATGCTTGTTTTGATACAATTTTAGGTACAAGGTTTGTTTAATGTCTTATTCCATATTTACTTTAGCTTATGACTGTTAGATCACTTGAGTGATTATAAACAGAACTGTTACTGAAATGATTTGTAGTCTATTGAATTAGAAAATGAATGCACGAATCTTCACTCTAATGGCAAAACACTCCACCCCTCTTTCAAAGAAGCTTGGTTTTCCTTCCTCTTTCTTCCACCCTGATCATAAAAATAAACTTTTTACAAGCAGTGTAACTTAAAATTTTAACCTGCAGAATGACTTTTTGTGGCTTGAAAAGCATTGTAATAGACTCCTATCCTGATCCGTTAAAAGTATTTTTAATATATGGTAATGTCTGAATAATATTCACTAATTGGAAATGGTGTTCTTCCTCAAAATAGACTTTGCAGCTGTTGTCATCAGTGTCTTCTCAGCAGAGAAGCATCTCTGGAGGAAATGCAAGGAGCAATCACCCAGGCAATCTTGAAAAGAGGATGTCTGAGATCTCGAAGGGGAGCTGGAGATGTAATGGTATCTCTCTTGCTCAAAAGGATGTGGATCCACATCTTTTCACACTGCAGCCTGAAAGCCTGGCATTGCTGTTGGCTCTGGGCCCTCTGGCATGGAGGTCATCCTGATGGTTAAGGAGGAATTGTCATAAAGTGGGGTATTTTTGCACTTTCCTTTCTGGCTTGCCCTACGTGCTATGTTCAAAATCTGGGGAGTTCCTGGAAAACAAGGCAGTTTGGAAAGTGCTGTGTGAATATGTTAATTGTTCTCTTTTTTTTTTTTTTTTTTTTTTTTCCTTCCCCCTGGAAATTCCCAGACTTGGTCGGGAAGTGGGGCTGCAGACAGGACACTG